CCCAAAACCCTAAACAAAACCCGAAACCCCTATAAGCCTCAAACACACTCAGAATACGTGGACTGGGTGGTGGGGGACCTCATCTCGGCCGTGAAGGACCGGGCAAGGGAGTTTTGGAACACTTTTCTCTCAATGCTTGGGGTTTCTTACACAGAGGAGTGACGTATGTAGGGCCCTTACAATAAGGCTTCTACCACTTGGAGTGAATATTGTGGTCCCTTCTTGTCTGAAGCTGCCACTTGGGGCTTCGGATTTTGGATTACAAGGGTACAGGCTTAAGGTAGTACGAACTCCGCCTTCTTTGAAGAGGAGCAAGGCCAGTACGAGAACACGATTGTTTTCTTCACCTCCGACAATGGCGGCGCGATCTATGCAGGCCTGTGCAATTCACAATTTCAATATATATATATATATGTATATATGTATGTATGTATATGTATGTATAGATGTATACATCTGTTGTTTGGCTTTAGCGAAAGCACGACAAGCTGTGCATCAAGCCTCCCTCGAGCCCCTGAATACGAGTGCCAGCAAGCATGCATCGCACAATAAAGGCCCTGAACTCAAGCAGCTCCGGAAAGCCTCTGCCTGGACGGAGGCACTGCCAACAACAACTACCCGCTCCGCGGTGGGAAGTTCAACAACTTCGAGGTGTCCCAGGGGACCTCAGGAATTTGCAGAGGTCTTTTGGAGCTGGTTTTTGGAGGCTGAGGCTTTAAAAGTGCCTTTTTAGTGTCTTTTGACGGCTCCTGTTTTTGGGAGGGCGGCCAACGCGTGAACGCGCTCTGGGCTGGCGGCTGGGTGGGTAAGCAGCTCGACAAGGCCGACTCCCGAGAGCACAGGGCGCTTCTCACGGATTGTAGCAGATTCTAGCCGCCTTGAAAGCCTTGTAGGCTAGGTTTCGGCTTGTTCAATGCTTCAGCCGGGAACATAGGAGCGCGGAACTCTGAAATTCTTTGCTGCCCCCCCGGCTGTTCCAGTACCGACTGTCACCTTTCACAAGCGACACGGTGATGTCCATCAACGACCTGGCCGACATTTGGCGGCAAACTGGCATGACTTGTCGCACAGAGCTACAGCGTGAAGCATCCCCATGGCATAGGGATCTAGCATTGAACTATCACAGCTGCAGGGACAAGAACAGATTGAAGTTGTTGCTTCTGGTACTCGAAGTGTGGTGAGGGCCAGCACATTCTGTAGTTGCCCCGTGTACAGCTAGTGATACTGCTGACTGGCACCGTCGTTTGAAGTGCAGTGGATGAGGTCACGGTCTCACGACGACCTTTGCTTCAATTCGTCTGTCGAACATGAGGAAGTAGAAGAAGACCTAAGGAGGCAGAAAAAGCCAAAACATTCCGACATTCGTTGCTACGGCAGATGTCTGATCAAGAACAAACCCATTGAGTCAGGTGATGCCAATTGCATTCACTTCCCAAGTTGTGCGTTCAGCGGGGTTTCTAGCGGCTCTAGCTCTGGCAGAGGGGCCGACCTTCCATCCCATCTCTCACGCCCACACACCGCTCGCCCCCGCACACCGTCCGTCTTCCCACTTCCATACTCCTTTTCACACAGCACCCCTTAGGAGACGTTGCTGGAGATGATCACGGACAGGCACGGGGAGCAGGAAGCTTGTGGAAGAGGAGAGTCCCTTCACTCTTAAGTAGAGCCGCTGAAAGCAAACTTAGACCCGCTCATAAAGCCTCAGAATCCGCAGATGCCGGTGACACCGTGCCAATTGAATCCGACCTGGTCTTCTGCAGCAAGTGCCAGGCCGTACCCCGATGGAGGCATGCGGAACGCACCTGGAGCCTTGGGAGCAACGCTCTGAAGTCGAAGCGAAAGGGGCGAAATGCGAGTTTCCAATGGATTTAGCGTTCGGCGTGTGTTGGCGCGGGCTCCGACAATGGAGATCGGTATATATATATATATATACATACATACATACATACATACGTACGTACATACATACATAAATACACACACACACATATACACACACACACAGAGCTGTACTGCAATGAGCTGGTGCCGAAGACCTTCGCCATGTCAATGAGTTCCAATTTCAAGTACAAGCTGGCTGACCCACACCTAAGCCCCTCCCTCAACACGACAGCGAAGGCTCACGGGCTCATACGGAGAAGGAAAGCTTTACAGCGGTGCTGTTCTAGCAATGATCTCGGTCGGAGCTCTGCATAGAAAAAGCCGTGAGCCCGAAAGTCCAGCAGATAGGAGACGCCTGAGCTGGAAGTTGACAGCCAGCACCCCGCCGCGGGAAATCGTCGGCCTCTTCGGCCCCCTTCAATGCCCCCACCTCTCAAACCCGCAAAACCCCTACAGCCGACCACAAGAAAAGGCAGGAAGGCGCCCAGCTCCAAGGACCGCTCACGGGAGTGCCCATGTGGAAAGCCATCCTGCAGAAGACTCAGGCAAGAGCCTAAGAGCCCACTTGGAAGTCAAAGCATGCTAAAGGGACGAATCTTAAACCAGGGTGGATGCCCTGAAAGTGTTTCTAGGGCTTATCTACGGTTTCGGAAAAGATGCTAGATGTGGTAGCAAGAATTCCTAGGACAAGGGCGCAGAGGAGCCTTTCAGAAGCATGTCCGAGGCCCATTCTGTCAGAAAGGCTCTGTGCGAGGGGCCCGAGGGGCCCTGCAAACAGGCACCAAAGCAAATGGCCCCGGACGACAAGAGACCACTCACGCTGCGTCCAGCACCAAAAGCCAAGCCTCATTTCGACCTGGGGCTTTGTTTGTTGCTTGTCGGGGACCGCTCGGGCAGCAAATGCCATCTTTCACATAGATTTTCCAAGCTTAAATAAAGCCTTGGCCGATCTTGTCCAAAAACGAGAGAAGTGCACTCTGTGTCAAACAAGATCCCGCACACCACGTCAGGGTCCCAAAGTAAGTACCAGTATGGAGCTTTCACGGTGCTGCTGCCGGAACAATCGTAATGGGAACGGAAACCTTCGCTGCTTGGATCTAGGGTCTACCACAGAATAGATCAGATGACGGAGATTGTGATCCTAAGAAGTATTTCTTACACCTCAAACTATAGAGCACTTAAACACCCAAGCCTCAATCCTGAAAGCCTTCAACCCCCTGCCTTCAAAAGCCTTAGCCTTCTTTCTGGGCAGGTTCCGCGCAAGATCACCTATTCTGAAGTCATGGAGCTGCGCTCCTGGGCTTACCTTTGAGGTCTTGTCGCGTTGCGGAAGCAAGATGTGCTGTGGATTGTTTTGGGCTCTAAGGCATGTCTTCAGATCACGCTACCCCGCTCTGCGGCATTTGAACACCCTTCTGTTCTGCTACAAAGTCCCACACAACGATGGCGTTCCCGGAAGCCACTTCAGACAAAGGCTACTATGCATCGAAGTTTGAACTACTTGGTCCCAGATCCCAAACTCGGCGCTACCACCCGTAAAAGAAGCATTGGCCACAGGCAACAGGCCCAACTCCTCCTTGGAGCCGGCAAACCGCAAACTCTGGTTCAGGGTTCAGGTCAGGGCGGCTTAGGGTCTCTGTCACAGAATCCCTGTTCCTCACGACCATCTTCGTTGGACCTTAAGGGTACCCTTCTTCTGGAAACCACAAGCAGGGGCTACAACCCTGCAGAAGCCACGCAAGCTTTCTGCTTTCTCTTGGTCTGTTGGAGCCTGCGGGGGCCGAGGAGTGGGCCCGGACATCACGGATTTGAAGAAGATTTGGTTCACGGAAGCCCGGAAGTGTTAGGGGGCGCCCCCATTCAAGGTCCTCGAAGGACAGCCTTGTGGAACTCAGACGAAGGCTTCCACGCCTCAGCTCCACCCTTGATGAGTGCATTTGAGGGCCATAGGCGCGCACTGCGCACTCACATAGCTTGCTCTGCAGAAAGGGAGCTGGATACATAGGGAAGCCAGGGAAGCCGGGAAGCCGGCGCAGCGCTCAGGAGAACAGCACCCTCATCTCTGACGGGAACTGGACACCCAACTTCCCTAACAACTCCCAGTTCATCCCCGACTTCGGCTACAAATATATTCGACCTTGCAGTGGCCTGGCCTGTCCCAGAAGAAAGAAGGTCTGCATTTTGCGGTTTAGCGAGGGTTTCGAAACTCAGAAATTCGTGGCTTAAGGGGTAAAACTACCGTAGTGCAGTAGACGGTCGAAGGCTAGTCGATTTGGACAAGGCATCGGGCGTGAGCTCGATATTTGTTCGTTCTTGCCTCTACGACGATGCCCTCAGTCAGCAAGGTGTCTCACTCTGGTTCGGCCAAAAAAAGTCCATGACCTGCCTGTTACTGCAAGCCGAAGACACTCTCCATCAGCTGGTCGTGAAGGAAGGCGGCTTCCCATGGAAACCTAGCCTTTGCAGCTTAAGATGCGGGTTGCAGGAATTTGCGCTTCAGCATCTCCGGTTTCCAGGACACGACTTCTCAAGCGACGAAATCTTCCGCCGCGAGGTACGCCCTACTGCTACTTCGATCTCTACAGCGATCCATCAGAGCAAACGAACCTTCCCTTGGGCCCAGTCGAAGAGCAGGCAGGAGCCCGGTAAGTCATCGGATTCTTGGTGGAATCTTTGTGTATGTGCATATATATATATATACATACATATATATATATACATATATATATATAATGATATGTTTGTGGGCGTGTGTGTGTATCTTTCAATGAATCTACAACATATATATATATATATGTATGCATGCATGCATGCATGCATGCATGCATGCGTGTATGTATGTATGTATGTATGTATGTATGTATGTACGTGTATACATGAGTACATAGGATCGCACATACTTGATGAGTTTTTATTTATTGCAGTCCCGATTAGACGCATCCGGGAGACTGCCACTGCCAAGGCTCCGTTCTGAATAGTTCGGGTTGGCTCGACTCTCACACTCAGATGGTGCTACCCAGTTTGTGGCTCGTGGTTGGGGCTGGAAGCAGGAGATGGACAAAGAGTCCGAATGTCAGATCGCTTGAACTATGACGGGATTTCGCTAACAAAGACCCGAAAGAGTTTGCGAACCCGAAGCCCCGAGCCGCAGCACGACAGCACGTCCTACTGGCGGCGGCACCTTGCGACTCTTGCGCACCCCTGCCATCAGGCACTGCGATTGGAGGTGCTAGAAGACTGGAACCTTTTTGTGATCGGCACGTCCCGCACCTCGTCCGAAGCGAGTGCCTACTGCTTACTCAGACAGTGCGCATGCAAGCTGCTGCCCTGTTTACAGTAGCCTTTCTGATGCAACTGACTGTTTCTTGTGGGTGCTGACTTAACCTGCTGGAATGCCCGCATCATTCTCTCAGGTATCCGGAATATAGACCTGGACACTCCAACAACCCGGAAGGTCTCGCTCTGGTGGCTTGGCAGCAGAATGCGAAGCTGGCTCCCAGCCTGCTGTAGTAGTAGGGTCATCGCAATTATCGAAAGAATCGCGACATGCAAGTCGATCTGAAGACGGAGGATAGAAATGCAAGAACAGACAACGCAACCTGTTTTGAAACTGGCAGGACCCACATGGGCAATTCGGGGCCTTTCCTGAGCAAAGCGGCAGAGCCCGTCATCCCACCCTTCGCCCAATGCTGGTGCCAAGTGGGCCGCAAGAAGCTCTTTGAAGGCTGTGGGTCCAAACGTCTTCTTTCGGCTTTCGTCGCGGAGTTTTTATAGGCTTCCGGCAAGACTTCCTATTTGGGTTTCGGGGGTCGGCGAGTCAGCGAAAACTCGATTCTGATACCTTGGCGAAGCTCAATCAGAATAGCCGTAGCTCCTCGCTGTTGTTTTGGATTCAAGTCAGGTTTGGCCACAACCCTCGACAGCGTAAACCCCTTCCCCGACGGTGAAAGCGCTGTGAAGACTTCCCCTGGACCCGCTTGGAAAGCACAACCGAAGATAGCAAGGATGTTACACAAAGGCCACACCTTTAGACAATGGGAGCAGCATGCAAGATCATCCGATGTTCTTTTCGTCTCCAGGCAGGGCTTGGGATTGATGTTTCACTTCCTCGCAGAACCTTGCTTTCATCAGTTGCCCCCCCAGAAGACCCTGACACTTGAGCCGCATGAGGAAATGCGTTCAAAGCCCATTCAAGCACATCTGAGGCGTCTGGATCTCGGATGGTCTGGCAGTGGAGAATGTCACGCATGCCGCTTTGTGCAGCAACTTCAGAGTCGAGGTTGGGGTCTGCTTTGGCCCGTAAAGCTGGTCTTGTTGCCGTGCGGGTTCCTTTTGGTGGTTAGCAGGGTTCGGGTGTTGTACGGGGCCCAATGCTTTGCCTAGATATCTTTCACCAAGACAGGGTTTAGGGTTACTTGAACTTGAGTTGACGGCTGAGGCGTGGGGCGGGCATTCTAAAGTTACGGGATTGCACGAGCAGAGAGAACAAAATCACCACACTCGACAATCAGAGCCGTCGTCCTTCCCGCATGAGAATCTTGGATTTCGATACCAACATCATCATCATCATCATCACCATCATCATCATCGTTGTGTCGTTGAAACCGTCAGCAAAAACATCCTCTTCCTGCGCACCGTGATAGGAGACTGTCATGGCAACACAAGGCAACAACCATATGCAGCTCCAAATACGAAGTTTGGTCAATCTCAGGTCATTTTCAACCTGTACCTCGGTCCGAGGCTGGCAGCTTTGCACTAGCGCAGTCGCTTCTGAAAGAAAGCCTCGGCCTGAAACGCGACGAACTGTTTACCGTTCGTCTGTTTCGGTTAGCCGGGAAGCCACGAGCTACCGCCGATGCAAACGCTCCAGAATGGCTGCCCCTAAACGCAGTAGCTCAGTCCTTAGCCTTCTGGCTTCATACACGTGTTGTATAGAATCTGAGTATGTATGTGTCTATAAAAATTTTGTGTATATATATATATACATGCATTCATTCGTGCATGCATACATGCATACATACATACATACATACTTGTATATATACATGTACATCTAGACATCTTTTTATACAGATAGATATGTGCAACCCTACCCGGTGAAAGGTTATGGCGTTAGTGGGCCTTGGAATTCCGCGAGCAACTAAGGCGCTCGCTGCGGTCAGTTTTTTGACTCTGAGACAACTGATGCGAAGTTCAAGAAGAAAGCTTCCCCGACAGTCTTAACTTCAAGCGAGAATATGGTAGAGGCCTTCAGTAAGGGATCCTTGATGACGACGAAGTTGTTCGCTCTGGGCAGGTGCGTCGACGATCGCGAGGCTTTCGGTAAGCCTGCTGCACTCCCATGCCTCCCGGCCTTAAGACTCGCTGCGTTTTGGTGTGTTAAGGGCCGGGGTTCAGAGGGGGCTCGGGGCCGAAGCACCCTCAGAAGTTGGGATCGCGACATGAAAGTCGTGGGTTAATAGGTGAATGAGGGAGCCAGGAAGGTCTCAAAGCCTAGTAAAAGGAGATTCGGTAACTGGATCAAGAAGTAGATTGGGGTCGCTCCATTCAGGGCTTCGGAAGCATCTTCGGACGAAGTACCAGCAGCAGAAGAAGTAGATGTCACCAGAACAAGCGAAAATTGCCGGAGTAACGAAACAGTGTTAGGAGGGGTGATGACAACTTTCTTCTGGCAACTACGCTACAGAAAAGCCGAGAGGCCGTACAACTCCTGTTGCTGGTAATCCTGCAGCGCAATCGTCTTTGCTGTTGTTGGCAAGCTTGTTCATGTGACCAGTTCCCTCGTCACTACAACTAACTACGACCAATGTGTTAAGCTTTGTATCATGCTTGATGCTGCGTTGATGTCGTCATCAATTTGATTTTCTGAGTGTTCAATGAAGCTTAGGTCGACTGCCGCTTCAACTCACGCAGGCCGCACGTCCCACGTTGAGGCTGATTTTCTTCCTGCTGCACGTTTTTGCTGAAGTCTTATTCACATAGGCGTGCTACTACTCTTCTCAGCAGAGCCGACGAAATCGGATTGGTCTCGCCTTTGGTAGTGGCGTTGTTTCTCTGTTAGGTCTGCAGTCCTAGGGTCGAGCCGAAAGCGCTGAGCGGCAGAAGTGACAGCGGTAGTGTTGGCAGCAGTGCCAGTCTGGCTGCGTCTTTATCATGATTATAAGTCTTGGCTTTGGAGGTGGTCGTTGTGAGAACTATGACCATTGGACCTGTGAATGTCTTTTCACCTGCTGTCATCACGAAAGTAAAAGCATGTCCCATGATGGCTTTCTATCACTCTGTTCGATCTTGTCACAGCGATCCGAATTTTTACGATCATCATAGTTATTGCGTCTTACATGGTCGCTATAGGACCCGTACAACGGCGCGAAAAGTCTGATGGTCACCGTGACAATTGCGCGTACTACAGCATGTCTTCAATCATTGTTTCAGTGCTCGAGCTGAGCCCAATTCTCACAGTTTGAAAGCATGTGCACGCAATGGGTACCGGCAGTGAGAAAACTTTTCATAATGTGGCAACAGTGGTTCATGCACGTTGGCAGCTAAGGCGCCCATGCCCTTCAGAAAGGCGAAAGCACTCTGGGCAGAGATTGGCTTCGAGACACCGGACACCAGAGTGCGAATGAGTGGGTGAAGTCCGGGCAGTGTTAGGGTCAGGCTGAGCTGAGTGAGTGCAGTCACCGCCGTTCAACTGTGCCGTTCCTGCTGCCCGCGATTCAGAAGTCTCAAACAAGTGGCTGGAAATTTTAGCCGCTGGTAATCGCCTGCGCAGAGTGCCAAAGTTTCGCCCCTCCCAAGAGAGACGGCCGGCTCAGCTAAGAATGCACAGCTACCTTCAGTCTGTTCTGATTGATGTGGGCGTGTGTCTATCATTGTGTCGTGTACCTCATCTCGTCTCGTCTCCGTGTGTTGTCAGCGGGGCACGTGCGCCCTTTCCCCCCCGCCATGGCCCCCACAAAGACTAGGATACGCTTTCACGCCCCCGCCCCCCCCGGCCTGGAGGAAGTCCAGGTGCCAGACCTCACAGAGCATGCAAAGCTGGAAGTCTCGACTGTCGTGGCCAACGCACTTTAGCCTGCGGAAGCCGCCGCGCGCAGGACTTCGAGAGAATCCGCCAGGCCGAGTGGACCATTGAGGGCTTCGAGACTCCGCTTCCCCTGCTGGCCTTGCGGTGGAACTTCCCTGTGATTGAAGGCGCCCCATCTGCTTACCAAAAAAGAAAGCCTTCCGAAACGAATCTGGGTCAGTAGAAGCAATGTCAAGTGAATTGTTCAGCAAAGATGGCTAGATACTCTATTCCCAGAACCGAAGATCCAAAAAAAGGGCAGCCTTGAAGTCCTGGAGGCTTGAAGGCGATGAACAACCGCACCGGCTTCGCCAACTGGGCCAACATTGCGAAGTACCCCTTCAACCTGGCATACACCGATCACTGTCGCTTGGCACTGGGAAGCAGGCAACTTACAAGGACTAGCTTGCCCCCATGAGGTCCAAACTTCGATATCTACACGGCTCCGACGCCCGTCACCCAGGTGCAGCTGGGTTCTGAAGGAGTGGTGGCACCCAGCCTAAACACTGAAACTCAATGCCTCCAACATCTAACGTGCCAAAGTGCTAAACCTGTGGGCTCCAGGAGGAAAGACCACCTGAATACGTTGCGAGATGCTATGGCAGGCCACGTGATTCCCGAAACTCCGGAGGTGACAGATTGGCTCCTCTCCGGCGGAATTTTCAACAATCCCACCGGCGGAGCTCGCAACGCTTCGGACGGGAACTTTGGCCACCAAATTCATCAGTTCGGGGTTTGAGGGCTTTTGGGCCTTCCCCATTTTACACGTTACAAGATAGGACTGAATTAGGGAGTATTGGAGTCTCCGGAGAATTGGGTATTCGCCGGCATGTTCAGGCGGCGGAAGGCAGACAGGATTAGTTTGCTTCATCTGGAGCCATTTTATTTTATCTTGACCGAGCCCAGGGTTCATTCGAGGCATGTTCTCGTATCGCAGCGTCTTCGTTTCCTTTGTCCGTGCTCCGCTGAGGAATGTGACAGCATGCTTTCCAGTGGACACAGATAGGCAACCCGGCACGGTTTGATTTGCCTCTGGTTGATGATGGTTGCCCTGGCTCAGGGCGGTTTGTCCAACCTTGGACAACAACCCGCCAACTGTGGACGGTTTCAATGTTCCGGTCTACAACACCTCCTTTTGCCTCGAGCATCTTGGCAAAGAGAGCTGAGCTTTTAAGAGCTGCAAGCGCCAGAAATGGGACCCAGGTACTGCGTGATATGGAACCCCGAAACCGACGGGTAGTGAGAAGGTGACGCCAGTGGCGAACGCCCGAATTAAGTTTTGAGTGACTTGATCGCCCGCAAGCGGCGAATTTTGACTTTTCCGTTTCGAATCACTTGCGATGGGAGCCAGAAGCCCTGGCACCAAAACACAGTTGACCCACCGTCACAAGCGTGGTGGGCTCAAGTGGTTGCATGTCTCTTCAGAGCCCCAGGAAGCCAAAGATACTTCCAGGAGGTTTAGCTGCGATGGACCAGACGCAAATGCCTGCGCTTGTATCCTCGATCCAAAATGCTCCATGTTCATACTGGGTCTTTACGAGAAGCTCTGCTTCGTGGCTGTCGCGGTTTGATTCCATCAGCCAAGCGATTTCAGAACGTGCCAAGTAAGATCGCCGCGCGGCGAAGTCAAAGAAGACTGTCAGTGGATAGAAACATCATTGTGCAGGTGTTGCTCCAATGTAGCTATAATACTCTTGCCAAATATGTTACGTATTCGTGTCTGACATGATCTACCGAGTTCACCACCGTCTGTTCAGAAGTTATTCTGGACTTCGATGCGGGACATGTGATTATGCTTAAGACCACCTGGAGGGTAACTGAGGCGCACCTGACCCCTCACCATACTGAACTTATGTGTCCAAGTCTTCCAGGAAAAACGACGTATGTTTTTCACTTTCGCCATACACAAAAGGGGGCGAGCGAGAGAGAGAGAGAGAGAGAGAGAGAGAGAGAGAGAGGCAGGCTTCTCTGGCAAAGTCTGTCAAGTGTCTCATCTCCCAGACCTGCTTATAAGCTGACTGCATCATTGCGCCGAGCAGCATCAGAAAGGTGAGTTGCTTCTACAATGCCCTGCATTCCAGGTCAACCTCTCATGCATAGACCGGTCTCTTTGTTGCTTGTGTTGATAGAACAGGTACATCAGCTCTTCGGCTCTGTGTTTTTTCTTTTCAGTGCTGAGGGATCCGTTTTTGCACAACTTGTGTCCAGAGCAACGGTTGCCTCGAATACACCTGTCCCGCGGGGACAGGATCCTACGTCGTCTTTAGCCTGCCCAACATGGTCCATTCCTGAATCCGGGATTTTGTCCATCAGTATCGAAGCACTCCTTCCGATGGCTTCAGCTTTTCAGCGATGCCCTGAATCTGCCTTGTTCCAAAGAAGGGCCTTGGATCCAGTAAAAGGGGGGCTCTACCTGTCCTACCTCTAGCTCTCCTTCGGGAAGCACTGCCCCGCCATGGGCGCCTTGGCGTCGGCGCGCTTGGCATCGCCCAGGCCGGCCAGCAAAGGACCCACTGCAGACGCCTTTTTGTTGCTTTCAATTGCAGGCTGTTTCGAGATGCGGCTGTTGCCCCATGTAGCAGTCTGGATGGTGTTCGATTTCAGGGAGAGATCATGCCGGCACTCTGAAGCCAGGCATCCTCGTCCCCGCTGCAGCTGTTTCAGAGGTGTATGCTCCAAGTCATGCTCGGGGTCTACAGCAGCATCAACGCCAATATCACCGACTTCGGCTTCGGCCACAACGATTGCTGCTAGCACTGCTCCACCTCCCTCCTCCTCGTCCCTCCTCCTCACTTCCACCGCCACTGTTAGTAGGACGACGACTAGCACTACGACTGCAACTACTACTACTAATGCGACTACTGCCAGCACACCACTATTGCCAGCGCCGCTGCTACTGTACCGGCCGCTGCTGCTTCCACCATAGCCGCAGGTACGGCAACAGTGCGAACCAAGACTAGCTTTTCGTTGACAACAGACATGACAGACAGCCTGATGTTAGACGTTGACTCAATGGTGGGCCGCGCCGAGAGCCTACTGCGATCCAAGGACTACGCCGCAGCTGCAGCAGCGGCAGAGGCAGTATTGAGAAATCGGTCATTACTTTCTAAGGCGGCCGTGGTACGCGGCAATGCGCTGCTCTTTCCGCTGTTGGATCAGATCATGGACGGCAGCCGCGAGAACCCAAGTCGTGCGGACTTCCAGGAGGCCGGAGATATGTTTGTGCTGGCAAGGAAGATCGACCCAGAAAATGAGGTGGCAGGCATCGAGGAACAAAACATGAAGAGCATCATCCAGATGCTTCTGCCAGGTGATGATACAGACCTGCATGAAATCCATCATGCATCAGACAACACTGTGCTCGGGAAGAATCCGCAGGTGAGCCAACAAGACGATGATTTGGATGTTGTCATCGTTGGTGCAGGAGCATCTGGAGTTGGAGTGGGGTTGATGCTCATCCAGCAGTTCGGCATCGATCGCAAGCGTATGTTGGTCCTGGAGCGCGGCGCCCGCGTGGGTGAGAGCTTCAGGAGATGGCCCGAAGAGATGCGTTTCATATCCCCTTCGTTCAATCAGGCTGGATGGACAAGCTCCCTTGATCTCAACAGCATTGCCCAAGATACATCGCCTGCGAAATTCCTTCTGGAAGAACACCCAAAAGGCGAGCAGTATGCCAATTATCTTGAGACAGTGGCAAATGAAAGCCAGCTTCCAATCCAGTTCTGCACAGATGTGACTCAGATCTCACCGCTGGGTGTCCCAGGACATCCTCGCTTTGAAGTTCATGTGAAGCCTTCGCAAGTTGCTCCAGCTGCCACGTTGGCTAGTGTGCACTGTAAGTTTGTTATTTGGGCTGCAGGTGAATTCCAATATCCGAAAGACTCTGGTGGTTTCCAAGGAATGGAGCTTTGCCAGCACAACTCACTTGTGCGAAGTTGGGTGGATGTTCCTGGTGACGAGTTCGTGGTTATTGGTGGATACGAGAGTGGGATTGATGCAGCAGTACAGCTTGCCCGCACAAAGCGCCCAGTTACAGTTCTAGCTGCCAGCCCCTGCTGGCAGGAAAGCAGTCCAGACCCAAGTGAAGAGCTTGCTCCGTACACACGGGCACGTTTGAGAGATGTCATGACCGATGCAAGCCTCCCGCAGCCGAAGTTACATGGAGGCTTCACGGTGATCAAAGTCGCAAAAGCTGATGAGGGCTACCTGGTTTATGCGAAGGAGCACGCAACAGATCCCGTGGCATTAGATGACCGTGCCCAGGTGCAGCGAATATTTTCCACAGCTTCTCCTCCGATACTATGCATCGGGTTTCAAGGCAGCGTGGCTGCCCTGGTCGGCGATCTCTTCCATTGGAGCTCTGACAAGGCCACCTCCTCTCCTGTTTTGACGGACCAGGACGAAAGCACTCGAACAGAAGGCTTCTTTCTCGTTGGGCCAAGTGTCTGCCATGATGGGCTCATATTCTGTTTCGTTTACAAGTTTCGCCAAAGGTTTGCCGTAGTTGCCGAAGCCGTGGCCAGACGTCTAGGCAAAGACACTCACCGCGGTATCCTGGCATGCCGCTCCACTGACATGTTCTTGGATGACCTCGCCGGAATTCACGCATGCTAGCGGCTAGTCCAGTGAGTAAGGTAGTCACTCCATGTGAGCTCTACCGGCTCTACTGCACAACTTCAGTTTGAACGGCGATTGCGTTCTCACTGACCGAGGGGTGACCGCAATTGAGCAGAGGTGTGGATCGCCATTGTTTAGAAGTTCCCAATAGGAATATAGTTTGAAGACATGCAGCTTGCACCAGATTCAGCCCTCCGAACCGCACCGAACCCCGGTCCCAATCGGAGCCCGACAAAACCCAGCGGAGCAGTCGTAACCTGGCTGTCCACCCCAAAGAAACGCTAACAAAGCAGCATGTCTTCAAACCGGAAGTAAAGCCGGGCGGCGCGCACCAAAACGCAGGTTTTCAGCTTCAAGAGTCTAGGGTTTGGGGTAGAGAGCCTTCCTCCTCAAAGCCTCTAGCACGGGTCATCGCCCCTCGAGGTAGTGCCAACATTCCGATTTTCTCTGAAAAAAGGCTCGCAATAGCTGTGGGTCTGAACCATCGAGGCCCTCAGCCAGGGTTCAGGGTCTACTAAGGGTTTCGATGTTTGGACTAGTTTCGGACTTGGGGTTGCGAAGTAGGAAGACTCCGGTACGGAGAAAGCGACTAGCCTGCCGCAGAGTTTGATCTAGGTTACGGAAACCTGTCCTGGGGTTTGTGTAGACCTGCCTGATGATTTCACGTCTTCTATCTGCTTCAGCCATCTTTTCATGTCCTTCTTTCTTTTGCGTCAGGTCTGATCTTTTCGGCGCGGACTGCCGATTCGCCTGCATCGTTCCAGAACAGAGCGCGTTAGATGTCGGCAGTCATTGTGAGTTTGCAGCTGTGACGGGGTGAGTGTAAGCATGATTCAAGCCGGGCGAACCCCGGAATCCTTGTGGCGACCCCGTGGCGACTTTGTGGCGACCTTGTGGCGACAAGCAACAAGTGAACAAACTTGAAGCATGTTTGCAACAAACCTGAAGCATGCTAAGTCCTGCTGCTGCTGCTGCTGCTGCGCCCGTTCTGGGCCCGCATGGTCTGCTACGGCGCTGTCCTGCCTTGCTCTGCTGCTTCTGCTTCGCTCGTTCTCGCCTGCATGGTCTGCTGCTGCGCTGTCCTACCCTGCGCTGCCCTGGCGTCATTCCAGCGTCATCATTGAGCCATTATTGAATCAATGTTGAGTCATTATTGAATCATTAATGTGGCCACATTACTAAATTTGCAGAAACATTACTAAATTTGCAGAAAGTCGGAGAGACCGCTTTTGAGCCATTTTTGAGCGGCTGCTTCGCAAAACAAGCGTCTCCAGAATCCGACTGTTTTGAAGCAATTTAAGCAGTTTTTCGGCTCCAAATAATTCCCCATTTATAAGCCTACAACGTGGAAAAGGTCGTTTCGGTGTCATCTTGAGCGTTTTTTCGGCAACCCCCCCCCCCCCCCTAAGCTTACTCTTGCTATTATTTAAAGGATGTTGGTCAGTTTATCCGGTTCTCCTTAAGTGCATTGGGAGTCCATGTTTGGGGTGTTTTTATTGGGGATACCAGTGGAAAGGCCAGAGCCTACTTCGTTTTCTTTGGGGTTCAGAGCTGACGGTTTCTAGAGGTCATTGGTTTCAGCTACGTATCTCACTCGGGATTTGATGATCTGACGATCGCCATCTGGTTTTGTGTTTACGATTATTTCCCGTGCCCAAGACGAACGTCAAACACAAGTGGAATATCAAAGTTAACAACAATGACAAAACAAAAAACAGCAACTATGGTTAGTTGTCAGGAACTGTGGAGAAAACCATGATGACAAGAAGAATGCTCATAATCATTAAAATAAGAAAGAATGAGCATATCCACAGTCGAGTCCAGCACCTGCACAGGAAACGCCGGTCGTCTAGCGCCAGATTCCTGCACTTGCTCGATTCAGAGTAGATAGGGTTTGAAGTCGAGGGCTTTGGGCGTAGGGTTTCGGGTTTCGTGTTTGAGGTACAAGGTTTTAGGATTTGTTGGCAACCTTGGCAAGCAGTCGCTGAGGCAGGCGTTTTGTGCCAGCATGTGGGGTAGAGTGATGCTGCGGTATGAGTGATGCTTCAACGCTCAGAGTGTGCTTACGCTTTTTTGCTTTCACTCCTCTCCTCCCGTTCGCTCCGTTCGCTCCATTCGCTCGCTTTCTCACTCCGTTCGCTCCGCTCTTCACTCCGCTCCGTTCGCTCGGTTCGCTTCGCTCGCTCCGTTCGCTCCGAGTCCACAATCTTCGAGTTCCGATTCGCTCGCTCCGAAATTTTCGGGCCAATGGGCCAATACGAAGTCTCAGGCCTCTGAGCAACGGATCTTTCGCTTTTGGTCCGAGGCCGTCGCTCAACGCCTTTGGGTTTTGAATCCAGTCGAGCGAGAGGACACCGGCATAAGCGAGGCGGCATCCAAAAGCGAGTTTCGGCAGTTGCCGAGTATCAACCCAGATGTCAACCCAGTGGTCGTCGTGAACCGATCGGTCGTCGCGCAGCGTCTTCCGGTCCCCCCCGTCCCTTGCCGCGAACACGCACGCGTGTTCGCGTCGTCGTCGCGTCGTTGTCCCGGTGAACCCCGTTCGGTTCACCCGGTGTAGGTCCCGCCATGGTTCGCCTTCGTCGTCGCCTTTGAATCCGGTTCACCCGTAAACCCGGTTCACCCGCCCTGGTTCGCCCCTTCGTCGTTGCGTCGTCATCGCGCAGCGTCTCCAAGCCCGGTCAGCTGCAAACACGCCTGTGTGGCGTCCTGCACGCGTGTTCGTGTCGTCGCCTCGTCGCGTCCGTGTGGTCGCGAGGTGTCCACATCGATCCACAAAAGTATCCATATCGGCATCACAAAAGTATCCACATCGGTGTCCAAAGGTATCCACACAGGTATCCTCACCCCATCCTCACCCCCAGTCCTTACCACCAGTGCTGGTCGTCGCGCCGTCGTGTCATCCGTCCCCTCCTACCCCTTCTATCCTCACCGGAATCCTGACCCCTATCCTCACCGGCGTCCTCTGGTCGTGGTGCCGTTGTGTATCCGTCCCCGCCTCTACTCACCGGAATCCTCTCCGCCGGTCCTCACCCCCCTGTCCTCACCACCACTGCTGGTCGTCGCGCCGTCGTGTCGTCCGTCGGCACCCCTATCCTCACCGGATCTCCTCTCTCTCGGGAGGGTGTTCAGCTCTCCACTCTGTTTGGGCTACGGCTTGTTTCGAGACAAGGTCAGAATTCCTTACTTCGAAGTCTGTCGATTCTGCAAGCTGGAGGCGGTAGGACTCGCAATCTGAGGGGCTCAAACTGGGCGCGCGCGGCTTCGGAAGCGAGCGGAGAGCTCAGCTGAAGCGAGCCGGCACGTCCGGCGCACCCTTGTAGACATAGCTTTCGTGCCATGTTAGCGACTTGCATCGTTTGGCAACTCTTGTATTGGTCTCAGTGCCAAGCCGTCCGTGACCCTGGGGCCGCCAATCGCTTGCATAGCTTTGTGCAGAGAGAGGGTGGTGAGTGTCCAAGCGCCACTCAGAACCTCGACACAGCTAATCGTAGAGTCGGCTCCTCAACTTGAGACCTTTGAGCTGTGGGTTGAGACCTTTGAGCTGTCTGGTGCTTTGATACCTCCACTTAAGTGCAGACCTGCAAGGAGTGACCTGGATTTGCGGTCCCTTGTGTTGAAGCAGCCTGGCTTCACCTTCCTGAAATCCCGGGAGCTCTTCCTCGCCGAGACCGCCAACTGTGATGAGCGCATGCGTGGCGTGAAGCTTGTGAAGGCCTGGCTGGGTGCAGCCGGCAAGGGTCCCAAGTAGTCTTTGCCTTGCTTCGAGGAAAGCCCGACCTCTGAAGGGTGGGCTTCAAGAATCTATAGAGAGCAGAAGCCAAACTCTGGTGTCTTGCACTCATCCAGGATTGCTTCTAAGAGCCCTTATGCGGGATATCCGTTTTCTCCACCTTTTCCGGGGGGTAGGGCGGCGGTCCACGGAAGCTTTTTTTGGTCCTGACAGGTAAAAAAGTCCACCGAAGCCCGTCGCGCTCAGCTCGCACAGCGCTTCCGGGTGAAGCAGGCGAAGACCATGCTGCAGGCAGCCGCCCAGAACAAGCTGTCTACCGGAACTTTGCGAGAAGCTCTTCTTGGAGTTCCTGGCGAAGAGGAGCACATGCCCGCCGTCGAGCTGCACATGTACCCGGAAGATCCTCGAAACGTGAGCTCTCAGTGGCGGGCGCTGCTGGTGCCGATCGCGAGAGGAGCCTTCAAGACCCTGTTTTTGTGTCAACCTGCGCTTCCCTCCTCAAGCATGTCAAGATGCATTGCGAGATTGCCCTTTGAACCACTGCCCTTTTACCCGAGCTCTCTGGCTGGGAACTGGTATTCTTCCCTTGACCGCCACCGCTCATCGCCAGCTTTGCTTCTCCTTGCAATGGAAGTGGTTCTCGCATGTGGCTCATTGGCGCTGCTGGCTCTCTGTCTCGTCGCCGGCTACGCGATGCTTACGAAGGGTGGAGGTGATGGAGATGGCAAGGCTTCGGTATTCAGTGCAGTGAACTGGTCATTCCCCTGCAAATGCTGCTTGACGCAGCACGCCCATCTGTGCCTTGGCAGCTTTCAGTAGCTGAGTGACTCCTCCTCGAAGGATTTGAAGTCGGGAAGCGGTTAGCAGAGTGCGGCTAGGATGGTTGGGTTGCATGTTGCTAGGCTTGCTGCGGTTTGCTGGCGAGGTACCGCGAAACTGGGGAGCAGGTGGACCATGAGCCCCTGGACGCAGGTAGCTGCGTTATAGTGCAAGAAGCACAGAGAGGAAAGGTACAGCTACCGCTGAGCTTCTGGATTTTCAGAGGTGATTGGGCAGAGGCCGTGAAGACTATGCTAGGTAAGCCGACTCAGAAGCTCTGGGCTCGGGTGGAAGAGCCGGCCGGGTGGCTTCTCCTCACCAAGGACCGCAAGCGGGGAGGGAGCGCGCTGCTTGAAGTCTTGTCGCGTTGTCCCTTCTGCACACAGGTTCTCCGACCTTTGTGACGGTTTCTCGAGCTGACCTTCGCAACTCGTGGTGAAGTGTTTTGTGCCACTGTTCCTATGTCTGTGTGCCCAGGCTCCCTTGTGTTTCAGCTGTTGAACAAGTGGGTACACGCCAGTGCACAAGCCTTCGTGGGGTTTTCAAGGGTGTTCTTTGCTCTGTAGCGGATGTAGCGTCCATGCGAACCTGGCAGGAGGACGATTTTCTACCTCGGGCTGTGAACGCCGAGACAATGCCCCAAGCAGTTTTCAAGGTGCATCCCGACTTAGTGCCTCCGCTGCCGGTGCTTTTGAGAAGCACTTTGGTCATGTTGTCTGTACATGTGACGTCTCAGTGGATTCTGGTGGAGTACTTCACGGGCATGTATAGCTTTCCAGCCATGATGTACCTTGTCTTTGGTACGGTAACCTCGCACGTTCTGGTGATGCTGGAGCGTTACAGAACCAGCGTGCTGGGCACTCAGTACGAAGAAGTTCTGCAGACAGAACGTCATTTGCTGAGCTTGCGAATGGCAAGCACGAAGACTGTGATTGTTTTCGCTATTCTCCAGGTCACCATGCTCGGCACACTTTTGTCTAGGCTGACGACGGTTTCAAGCAAGCAGATACCGGCTGAGCTGGGCTTCTTGGCAGGCCTCGCATTGCATGCGAAGGCGATGTACGACACCAGTTCGGTGCGGCAGAAGTGGCGCGAGCCGCAGCTTGCAAGCAAGGAGATCTATGAGTTCGCAAACAAGGCCATGCCAATCACTTCTACAACACCAAAAACTCTATCCAGTCAAAGGGCACAGAGCCTCTCTTTGGTGTGGTGCCTCACACTTTCGGTTGTTGTGATCGCCCTGATGCTGGTCGCACGCATCACGCTCGATGTACTGCAACTGCGAGGAGAACTTGTGGCTTACAGCTTCACTCGGGGGAAGCTTATGTCCCCGTCTGGTAGCCAGTCCTTCCACAATACGCTACTTCTGGACCAAAATGCAGATTCTTTCACCGTAGATCTACAGTTTGGAGATTTCACACGCAGTGTACAGATCGAGCTGGTACACCCTCTCCTGACTGATGAGGAGCCCCTTATTGTGACAGCATCGGGTGAGCAGCAGCTGTCGCTTCCAAGTGGACCCCTCTATTCTCAGCTGATGTTCCATGCAGTAGGAGATTACGTCACTACCACTTATGTCATCCACATTCTGCGTGTGGGCGAGGCCATCTCCATCGGGCTTTCTGCCAGCTTCGACAAAGTCAAGTATCCGGACTTGGCCGGGGAGGTATTCCATGAAGAGCACCGGCTGCAGTACCAGCTAAGACACCGCCTGTGGTATGTCCCAGACATCGATCTCTCAAACAACGGCACCCTGCTCGTCACGATGACTTCCCTGGTGCTTGCGCCCATGATCTCTCCCTTCCAGGAGGGCTAGGTTGCAAACCACATAAAGTCGATTTTACATAGCCTGGCATGTTCTGCCAATGGACTAGAGAAATCCATCCCTTCAAAAATCCGAGCAAAGCTTCTGGTACCCTTCTTTAGAGTGTGACATCACCCCAAAGATGGCCCGACAAGAGGTCCCTGACCGCAATGAAGGTGAATTCTTAACGATGTAAAAGTAGTGTCATGGAAGTTCCAGGACAAAGTAGAACACACGAACCCCGCCCACGCAGCCTTCAGCACCCTCGAAGCCCCAACAGAACGGCGCTGCGTCAGCTGAAATCCCACGGCTGGGCCAGACACGCGGCTGTGAGCTGTCAGCAGGCCTTCGTTCTGAAAGCGTAGACGCCCGTAGGCTTCGAGATTTCTTCCCGTGTTGCGAGGGTTCAGGTTGTGCGGATTTCTCTGAGGGCTGTAAATTGCCGAACCATGCAGTCTTGTTTACGAAAGTTACCTGAGTGTGACGCAGGCCACCAAAGCCAGTGCGTCGCGGAACAAGAGGTGCATGTCGGGAACGCAACCTTTTATATCTACCAGCACAATGCGGACCAGACGATCTACGCAGACTTAGGCAGGTGGGAGGACCCTAAGCCCGGAGGACCCTAAACACTATAAACCCTAATTACAGGCTTAGTTGTCACGGCGGACCACTTCTTTCCTTGAGTCAGGAAAAGCAGGGGTGGCAGGGATGGACAGCGGCATGCTCCAGTGGCTGCAAGACACCCGCTTCAGTGGCAAATGGGTCCGCCTGACTTCCGGGTTGGCCTTTGCTGCAGAAAGTTCGGAGAACCACAGTTTGAATACAGTATTCCGGTTGACTGGCGCTCTAAAGGCGTTGCAGGATGACAACAAGCTTATACAGATCGGCGTGACCCAGGATATGACAAATTCCGAAGTCCTGGAGGTACCACTAATGCTATTGTCCGGGGCTCCCTCGCCATTTCTTCATTCCAAAGAACAGTCAGAGGACAAGTTTCTCCTTCCAAGCTTCAGCCCAGACCTGCGGACGGACTACGCAGTCTGTGGTGGCCATGGTAAGCTAGATGACGTTGAGGTATCCGTCTCGGACCCGCGCTTCCTCACTGTCTCCACGGATCTGCAGGAGCCTGGCAGCTGTGACACCGTGACAAAGCGAGAGTTCCGTTCCATCCGCAAGGACAACACAGGCTGCGGGAAGTGGTGCGAGCACTACCTCCCACGTACGGGGCGCTACGACATGTCCGTCGCCCGCTCCGCCTCTCTGTGCCTTCAATTTGCCATGGATCTTCTCAACGAGTCTGCTTTGAACAATACTCTATTCATGACAGAAGGCCTTGGGGTTGAAAAGTGCATCCGCAGCATATTGCAGCAGGCGACAGGCTAAAGACACCACATTACCCCTGAAGGTGCCGGGAAGAATCCGTGCGTGGATGAGGGATGGCTTACCCAAGCGATTCTGCTAAACTTCACTGCGGGAGTGGAGGACTGGACGGGATGAATGGAGATCGACATGTTTTTGAGTGTGGCAGTGTGGCTTGTGTTTGAACATGTTCAGATTCTCCTGAGCTTCGATGCCAGCCCGGATGCGATCTTCCAAGGCGTGACTCCTTTGCAGACCGCAGCGGTGCCCCAGCAGGATCGCTTAAAAGAGATTCGCATTTGTTTTGTCGCCTTTCATTCCTCCGTTTGGCAAGGGACGTGGCTGCAGATGAGACGACACAAATAAGCCCCATTGAACCGCGGCATTAAGTGTCCAGCGACACCTTGGAAAGGGCCCAAGCGCTCACCCCCTCGGCTTGTGTTTTGTAGTAAGACTAAGACATACTCTTTTCGCGGCATCTCGCGGCTGAGGTCCAAGGCAATGTTTTGACACTCCGGAAGCTTCTGAACAAGAGCAAGGACGTCGCTGCCAGGACTGCGGGGATGCTGGCCGCAGGCCGCCACTGCCACGCCGAGGCCATGGAGCTGTTCAGAGAATATGGTGCTACTGCGGCCAACGCGAGCACGTGTGATGATTCGATGCTGATGACGGTGGTCAAGGAGCGCGCCATGAACAGCGAGGCGTGCCAGCAGAAGGCCCAGAGCACGACCGCTGAGCGAAGGCAGAACTACACCGCCCTTTGGGATGTCCTGGCCATTCTGAAGCAGATGGACAATGCATCGTACAACGAGTGCAGAGGCAGGGGGGGATACTGCAGAGCGGGGCTGGGTTCCCTTTTGGGTTGCCGTTGCTTCGGAGGACCGACGTTGAAGAAAGCTCTGGTGCGACCCGACCTGGCGGCTGTGGAGCTGCTTTTGGACGGGGAGGAGAAGGTGGACGAACTCGCAGGCCGTGATTGCGAAGACTGCGACGTGTGGATGGCATGAGGTCTTGTAGGCTTGCTTTCTTGTAGTTTTTGTGTTGCATAAGTGTATCAACATAGCGCAGTAGCCAAGTCGACAAGCGCGCTTGATTACTGCTTGGTTGCTTGCCTCTTAACGCAGGACGCCCCGGACGCCCCTTGACAAGGATCTTGATGAACCTCCTGTCTGCGGAGAAGGTCACGGACGAAGTCTTCCTGATGGCGACGGAGCTTCTTCACAGGCACGGCATGGACCTGCAGCCCCAGAAATATGCCTTGCTGCCCTTCGTGGCTTGCCGCTGCAGCGTGCGGCTGGTCAGGGAGCTTCTGGATCTTGGGGCCAAGCCTGAAGGGCTGTACTCGCGGAAGAACGCCAGCGCTAGCGTGGCGTCTTCCGAGTGCACAGGCCCCGAGAAGGAAGCGATTCAGGCGGAGTTGGCGAAGCAACGGGGGCTTAAAGAGTAGACCCTCAGAGGGAGTTCCGGCAGAAAAGGATCCGGTGCACTGTAGGGGCGGAGCTGTGCCGTGCCAACTTATGTGAGACTCCGTTTACTGGCTGAAAGAATTGAAAAGCAACTGGAAACTATTGTAGTTTCCATTTGGTTTTTCCATTACAAATGATGGAGAATCAAATGGAAACACAGTAAAATGGCTTGTGCCGCTGCATGTAGCTACCTGCTCGGCCACTGTTTCGTCTTGCGCCAGGCGGGCTTTGTTTGTCAAGCTGCTGTGGGCCTGGGCCTTGCTCTTCATGTTATAGGCAGTGCACGTTACTGTCCTGTTGTTGGGTCCCCGGTCTAATACGGGCTCTACAGCGTAGGGTTTAGTAGATGTATGTAAAGTGTGCGTGGAGCACGTGCCCCCAGCTTCAAGATATGCTGAGTCGAAGAGATACTGTGCGCATGAGATTCTGCTGCAGCGAGGTGACGAAAGACCTCGCGAAGGGCGTGGCCCTGAGTATGCGGAAGCTTACTTTCAGGGAGAGGGGCTGCTCCGAGGGCTTTCATGTTGGGGAGGATGCTTTTCAATTCAAGGGGGGTTAGGGTTCCTTTAACGAACGGGGTTTATGTTCCTTTTGACAGTGCTTTGGGGAGGATTTGAAAGTCGCCCGACAGAACCGAAAGCATATCGGGTGTGGGGTACGCGCGATTCCGTTCACAAGTACCCATGAGCCTCCGAGTATGACTCAGGTAGATCTCCAGGGGACCTCACAAGAAGATCGACCCTCAAAGAACCCTGACCTAGAGGGTAATAAGTTTCCAAATAGGAACCATTTCGGGAAGAGGTATGTTTTTTTAATCAGCGCCCTTGCAGCATCGGCGCGCGAATGTTGTGCAGTCGAAGTTTGCATCGGCGCCAGATCTTCACAAGTCTACCCTGAAGTCTTGTTGAAGGGTCTTGCTGAGTCCGACCGATGATGCTAGAATCCTGCATGACCTGAGGGTATAAGTTATAAGTATGCCATAGCTCCCAAGTACCCCGCCCACATTGGGTCCAAGAGCTCAGGTGTCGGGCATCAGTCGTTCTGAAAGCCACCCAGGGTCCAAGACACATCCCGCATGAACTCGGGTAGAAGGAGTAGCCACATATTGGGCTTCATGTCGCAAATTCGATGAAGAGACTGCTATATAGTACATAAAGCCCTGTGAGGTTTGGCGAGAGCTTGAGCTTGACACGGGTATTCGGGGAGCAGTATGAAACGTGAGCAGTAGCAGTAGCGATTGTCTTTGGGCTAGGGGGACATGGAGACGCTGTTTTTTCGCAGCATCGCTTAACCGCTTTAGGCTGACATTCATGTTTGCCGTGCGTGCCCCGAGCCATTCTCGGCTCTAAGCAGACTTTGACCTTCAAAGTCTCCGTGGCCGGCCCGTGGCACATGTCTACGTTGGCTGCAAAGTCTTTGAAGCTTGGCTGGAAGGGGAGTGCATTTGCCCTTAAAGACAATATGCCAGACCCTACATGACCCTATTCAGCGAAACGGCTCGGCCACACTTTGGGCCTTTTACGTCAGAGATTGAAGATGTGGTTACGCTGGGGTGTTTCAGCCGTACATCCGCTAATTTCACCGGCTTCAACGGATGTAGTACGCAGACTGTGTGCCAATGTGTGCCGCATCGGCTCAGGATCCAAACGGCATGTGTGTTCCTTCCTGTAATTGGCGTGCGACCACACCTCGACCGGGAGAGCTGCGGAGGAGCGCCGCTGCACTGCTTTCCTTCACGGCTCCCAAACGGTCAACTCCCTGCTTCGCCTCATGCAGGAGTACCGGGCGCCTTCACTGTCACTGGTACAGAATGCCGCTGTGATACCCAGCTCTTTGGACCAGGTTGCCCTCCACCGTCTTCCCGCAGCGACGTCTGGGGTGGAAGCTTCCAAGTTTCCCACGTGGTGGAACCGAGGCAGTGCCAAGGCCTCAGAGGCTGCGCTGGTCCGTGGTCCGAGTAAGCCCTAGAACATATCAAATTTAAGGCAGAGCAGCTCCAGTGCCGAGGCCGCTGTCTCACGCAGAAGGAGTTCGACCAGCGGTGCCAAGACGCAGGGGGCGTTGCAAAGTACGGCGGGTGCGAATGTGTCTACGAATTTGTCGGAGATCCTGCGTATTGCGGCAAGCTTCCTGAAAGCATCCCACTGGAGACGCATTCCGGATTTGGCAGTTGCCCTGGCCTTAGCAGTCGGGCTGCGTGTGCGGGGGCCCTCAGACTGCGTTGTAGCTTGCTGCCCCCATGCACTGCAGTACCCCGCCTTCCCGAGGCAGGTGCTACTCCAAGGAGGAGATAGGCGCGACCATCAAGCAGCGAAGTGCTTACGATCACATCACCAATGATGCTTTGAAGTTCTGCACCGGGCTCCTCGCATTAGTCCAGAAAGAGCTGCCCCTGGAAGAGAGGCGTGAACAATGGCGCATTGGCGTTCGAGTGGAGGACGCGCTCCAACATGACGACCGCGAAAAGATCTGCCAAGCAGCTCTGGCGCAGCAGATAACGCCAAAGCTTGCTGACGAGGAGCTCCTGGGCTTGCACGAAAGCATCGATGCCCCAGAGCCCGGAGAGAAAACCCGTGCGTACCAGGTTTTGGTGGACGGGGTGAGCCGGACGGATCATTCCTGGCAGGATTTGCTGAATAGCGTATGCGCGGATGAGTGCCGCGACCTCTTGGAATTAATGGAGTCCGCAACTCTGGAACTTGTGGAGGCAGCTGTGAGTGTGGATTCGAAAGCGGGAACTATCCAGGAGATCTGTGGCAAACATGTTGTGCAGAAAGCGGAGGCCGAAGTCCTCACCTGCTGTGGGCAGGAGTGCGGCTGGGACAATCGCATCTGCCGCCTCTGGCCCTTCTTCGACCCCTCGGAGAGGCTCGACTGGAACGCCCGGTGCTGTGCAGAAGGCACCATCCTAAAGGACTCCAGCCGCGAGCGGCTCTGCAACAGCGTGCAACCCAAAGAGAAACGCGAAAAACTCTATGAAAACGATGCAAAGCAGGAAACGCAGCAAGATGCGCTCTTAGTGGGCCAAGACCGGGCCCCACAGCCAGGACCGTCACTGCTACAAAGCTACGCTGGCGAGGTGCAGTGCGACGTGCTTGGTGCCAAGTGCGGCAAAGAAGAGCAGCGAGCACTCTTCCTGAAGGCATGCAAGGAACACAAAGAGGAGCAGTGGCACTTCTTGGATTCTACCGCCTACAAAAAGTTTGTAAGCCTGGAGCACGTGCACATAGTCTCCGGGGACACCAGCATTCGTGCTTGCTATGCCAAGCTGACGGGGGATGTGGATGCTGTTTCCTGGTACATGAAGACCTGCCACTTTGTCCACAGCTCCGACCGCGAAATTGAAGCCATCCAGGACACCTACGATGCCACAGACCCCGAAGTGCCGGATGTGGTCGATGGGGTGGCGCTCTTCAAGCAGAAGCAGTAGAAGCGAAGCTGAAAGCTTGTAGGCCTATGGCAGAAAAGAAAAACGGAGCTTCCTTGTGCAGACCTACATATGATCATCTTTTGCTGATGGCATGCAAGTGCAGTGCAGGGTGCAGGTGTGGAGATGTGTGCCGCCAGTGTGCATTCGAGGCAGAGGCGCTTTCGCGGACGTTGCGGAACGACTTCCGCCTGCTGGGCTGGCGTGCCGGCCTCGGGGGAGGTTGGGTATGGGTTCGTCAACATGAAGAGCACATGCTCTGTTGTAGTGATTGTAGTGCTCTCTTGAAAAGCGGCCTTTCGAGAAGGTGGCAAGGCCAACTCAGAAACCATAAAGCACAGAGGCAAGGATGTGCTGATGGCCGGCGCCATGAATTTTTGCAGCTGTCGAGCACATCGACAAGGCAGGGATCGGTCGAATTCTGTTTAAGTAATCTTCTAATAATATTCTACTATACTGCATATACAGAACTTAGAGTCTGATGGAACTTAAAAACAGCAAAGGGAACGAGCTACTCGACGAACAAGTTTTCCCAGTTCTGTTGAGCTTCCCCTGTTTTCTTGCGCGGTCCAAGTGCACAGCGACCTCCCGCTTGATTTCTGGGCATTGCTGCATTGATCACGGTCTGATGTTGCTCTGCCCTTTTTGAGGAGCTGTTTTCCGTTTTCCATACAGATTCCTGTTCCTGGCGGGTGATCTCTTGGAGTGGTAAGGGCTTCATAGGAGTCCAACGACATCATTACTACCATTACTACCGTCATCATTCATCATATTCGTCGTTGTCTTGATAATCCAGGTTTCCGTCAGATTGTAGCGGCGGACATCGTACGCAGCACCTTAAACCCTAATCTTGCGTTGACAAGCAAGGTCAAGCGTGAAGAACATTCCTTTTCCAAAGCAAAAAGACGAGCCGTAGTTGAAACCCAACATGGCCGAATTGGTTTCGCCGCCTGAGGTGAGAAATCCACCGAAATTGAGCGGAACTCGGATTGATCGCTCGGTTTCGCCGTGCAATGACTATGTTAAAGGAGTTCCTATGGATAGTGCTCTCGTTCCCCCCGAGCATCAATTTATGCTCGAGCCCTACCCAGCTCGACGAGAGGAGAGATATCAAGTAGACCCAAACGGCAAATCAATTTGTTCGCAGTGACTGCAGCAGGGCCATCGAACACGTTGCTTGAAGGCTTCTTGTTGGCGCGTGGGTATCCGCTCGCAGAAGTGAACCCGCCCCATGGAGAGCTAGCCAGAACCATCCCTGAACATCCTAAGTGTTACGAATCGCTTCTGTAACCTGGCTATCATCCGGCGGGAATTGGGACTTTCCGAAAATAAGGGGTACCTTATTTTGGAGTCCTGAAAATAAGGATCCTACTATCTAGGGTACTATATTAGGGTCCCCTATGTTCCAGAGAGCCCGCAGACCGCGTCGCGTAAACAGCTCCGCACCGATACACCGATATACCCTCCCTGCCCGGATCGGCGTATCGGCGTACCAGCGTATCGGCGTATTTCCTGCCCGGATCGGCGTATC